TTTTTTNTNTTTTTTTTGGGACGGGTGTGACGTTGGCTGCGGTTCGAGATGGCGGAAAAAAAAAAGCCATCCAACCACGACACCACCTCGTAGCTACCCCCTTCCACATCTGTCATGTAAAAACAAAAATTCATCCACAAGGGACTACAATGAGCTTTCCCGCCTGCAGAGTCATAAAAACAGAACAAGATGGTGAAGAATGCATTACGAAGAGACGTGCAAGAAGTAACCAACACACAAAAACACACACATACTTAGAGACAAGTATATATTAGATGGGTAAAGCAACACACAAAGACAGATGCGTTGCCCTCGTTTACGGCCTCTTTCATCGCCCACAAAGCAGCCAAATAATTTTGGCCCCCATAGGTGCGTAGATGTGTTGGTTATGCAACTTATATGCTGCCTAACGTCAGCCGCCAGTGGCACATCCGCCAGAGAGCGAACCCTTTGGAAGTCCGTGAATGTTGGAACCACGCGGAGCCTGGCCAACGCTGCGACCAGCGCTGAAAAAACCGGGCCGCGTCGTTGATGCGCACTCCTGAACGTGTTGCGAGACGGACTCGGAGGAAAAAAGAGTGGCAACAAACAACCACACAAGACGCAGAATGGAGAGGAAAAAATCAACGAGACTAAACGGCCTAGATTCAACGACCCGGCCGTTCGAAATGTACGGCATTTTTCTTGCCGCCACCACTACCCCCTAGGAAGTCTTCCCTTGTACTGCCGTGTTGGTTAAGAGAGGGGAAAGGGATGTGACCTTCCGTGTATAAATCAGGAGAAGCAACAGTAGGAAACAGGCAAACAACGGAGAAAACTAAGCAAATGAAAGTAAAAAGGGCATGACAGTAAAAATTACGCTGCAGTTATTGAAGAGCCAATCATTACAAGACAGAGAAATACGTAATTTTATACATAATTATCTAAACGTGTTTTTGAATCAATTAACCGGTATTGCTTACACTGTCATCTCCTCCATGTAGAGTTTCTAGTGCTGTCCCCGCACAGCCGCCATGGGATCACCGCCACTTAATGCCTGTAGTAGCACACATGCACGGCAAAGCTTCTGACTTGTGACGTAACCACAGCGATCACAAGAGCCCTGTGGATGTTCAGGCATGGACTCCCGCTCGTTTACACGCAGACGCTCCCCAGAGCGGACAGTGTCTATAATGCAACGTGACTGAAGTATTTCCATCTCCTTCAGAAGCATACGTGCCTCACCACGGAAGGCCTCCCTGCTATAGGTGCACTCCGTGGTAAAATAATCCAAATTATTAAGATGTGCGTACAGAACAATCTCCTTCTCATAGGCGTACTTCAAGGGTTTTACACGAGGAATGAGACCCTCTCCAGCAGTAATGGCGCTTGTGCATCGCGAGAGACGTGGAAGATCCGCGCGCAAGACATTCATTAGAATTGTCTCTGCCAAATCATCGGCATTGTGTCCTGTCACAATCTTTGTCGCCCCAAGCAACGCCGCACCACGATCCAGTGCCTGCCGACGAAACACACCACAAAAGGTACAACTATTGCGTAAACCTGACAGCTTCACAACCTCATCCATTGTCAACCCATACAGTTCCTTGTACGATAGCACACGCAGAGGAAGTTTGTACTGTGCTGCATTGCGCTGCACCGTCTTTAGGCTATCGTCACGGTATCCAGTGATTCCTTCGTCAATGCTCAGCAGGAGGAACTGTACTCCGTACCCATGGCGCTCATTCAGTAGCTTCATGAGATGCATTAGAACCGTACTATCCTTGCCCCCACTTGCTCCACATGCCACAATGTCGCCCGGTGTGAAAAGCTTTTCTGCTATTATCGTCTCATGCACTTCCTCTTCAAATAAATGAAAAAAACACGTTCGGCACAAAAGTTGCCCGCTGTGAGGCCGCCTCACAGTGGCCTCCTCTTCATTGCAGTGCCTGCAGAGCGGACGCGGTGACATCCCGTCCCTTGCTCTCTCCCCCAGCTAGCCAATAGCCACAAACCTAAACTAAACTTGGTGCAACTACCCGTAATTTATATATATATATATATATCTGCCGAGACTCCAGAGGTAGTTGACGGATGTACAAAAGAATCAAAAGAAGAGGGGGGGAGGGGATAAAATACACTGGCAAATGTGCATAAACACATCAATGTATTGCCCCTCTCTCATCTATTTTCCCAACACTTTACATCCTCCCTGCCATTCTGATCGCCAAACGACAAAAAAAAACACTCACATAGCAGCAGAAACTCTACAAGCAAGACTAGTGTCCAAAACAAAATAAAGATGCACCTCTCAACCGTCCCCAGGAAGAGCCGTTGAAGCCTCCGACGCTGAAGCAGAGCCCAGAGTATGTATCCAGGCTGCAGGCTGCTGTTTAAGAAGATGTGCGATCAACTCCCCTGTGTCTTTGCTCAGAAACGGCATCCCTGCAAAGGAATCCCATCCTTCACTCCCAGTGCCTCTGCCCCTGTCTATACCGCGACCGATTTCACATGAGTCAGATGGAGTGTTCATTACAAGGTGATTCACCAGGGTTAGTTTGTCATTTTTATCATGAGAAACTGTCCATTGCGGCAGCCGTGTTCCCTGCTGCAATGTGCGTGACCAGACAAACAAATCCTCCAACTTTTCTTCTAAACGTCTAAACGCCTCCCTAGTCGTAACGTTTTCAAGTCGGGTTTCAATATCCTTCATGCCATAATGAGCCGCCTCTGCACTCTTGGCGGTACCAGCCACCAATGCATGGAGGGTGGACAACTCGGCCTGGACAGAAGTCAGAGTACGCTCCAGCGATGCCATTGATCTTTCATGCGTCTCTCTCTCAACGGCCAGCGCTTCGTAAAGCTCTTTGTTCATAGCCTCCAGCCGGAAAACTCTTTCCAAGAGCTGTGGATCTTCCAACGATGCCAAGTTTCCCCTGTTCTCCTTCCCGTTGAAGCATTCACCATGCCCCTTATTACCTGCACACTTTTCTATGCTCGATGCGGCTAAGGGTGACGAGTAAGCTCCATTTCCCACAGCATCATACATCGTCAACAGTTGATCGTTGCCATGATAAGGGAAAGAGGGGAGTGAAGACGAACCGCAGCGCGAGCCATAGCGTCGTTTGGAAACTAACTGCACCAAGGGCATTGTCACCTTCGCATCCTTCGCGGTTGTTTTCCCACTCGACTTGGTTCGCAAGTCCAGATGAAGAACCTGCGGAGTATGCATGTCGCTCGGGGACCGCGAAGGAATCAGGGTATCGGCGGAGGGGAGTCCCTGGATCGTAAAAAAAGAAATTACGTCTGAATTGCGAGAGCGTGTTAGGGCCTCGCTGGATTTCTCTCTGCCCTCACTGTTGTCTCCACTGGGGTCGCAACTATTACACAGAGCAATGTGTGCCCGCATTGAAGACATCCCTAGCTGAAGACCGCAGTAGGGACACGCCAAAAGCGTGCTCATGGCGGCAGTAAAGTTGCGACAAATATTAAGGACACAAACTGATGTCGTCACCAGCCCCAACTTTGTCAAAACGTCTAGCAGAAGACACACACACACGCACGCAAAGAAAAAAAAAAAGATAAAATTAAAAAAAGGAAAAAAAGTGGCCTTTGTAGCTAAGAAAGAATAATATATTCATATATATGTGGGGGAAAAAAAAGAGGATCTGGGGGGTTGGACCTCGTCGGGGCATCACAGGGAAGTACAAACAGTATTATATATATAATATAATATTCGAGAATGGCGAGGCTTCCCCCTTTCCACATGAATTTGAAGGAGGGAGATGACGCCGACAGCAACACATGCAAGGCGTCAAAAAGGCGAGCTAAACCTCTTCCTTCTATTGCCTAAGATTCGTTGGTGAGCGTAAATTTGACTTCGGGGGCAAAGGAGCCAACTTGCGACCGCGACCTCCAGGCGAGACACGCAAACTTCCGAAGTATTTGTCCGTATTCTTGCCACCAACTCGATCTTGTTGGTCTCTCAAAGCGAACCGAAGGCCGGGAGAGGGGCTGCCACGTGGCTGCAGAGCACTTGAGGAGGGCTTTCTATTGCACTGACGCGATGGTCTCTGGGTGGCGGGTTTCCCCAGCAACAGCAAACGCCGTCTCTCCGCCTCAGGAGCTCCAGAGGAATTCATTGCTGTTGGCCTGAAGCAGCTCACTCGTCGCTGATTTGGGGAGCAGCCCAGCTCATGAGGAAAGTGTACCCCCTGCTTCACTACCACAACAGGATTCTCTTCCTCTTTTACCGTGTCGACAAATTCCTCTTGTGATGCGTCCACGGCGTGTAAAAGACGCGCCGGAACCTTTTTCTCAAGAGGCAATGCCGGCCCCGTCCGGCCCAACGTTCCACCTCGACGTATGGCAGGCCCAGTTTTTGGCCTCCGGCGGTTGGGTACGAGGTCGTTCTTTCGGGTTGGCTTCGCAGAAAAACGATTCCCGTGATCCGCGCCGTAGTAACTCAATGTTGCTTTGGACCTGTCGTGTACCTCGGTCTCTTCTTTTTCTCGCCGCAATTGGTGCTCTGATGCATATCGTTCCATGATCCACGGCACCGCCACTGTTCCCCAAAGCACCTCAAAGATGTCATCAACCGCATCCTGCGTTGCCGTCGTGCACAGTGCATTTTCCTTGTTGTTTTCATTGCAGGTTATGTCCATTGTTATACTGTCATTGTCGTACGGCGGCCCAGTGCGCCCTGAGCATTGGGCAGCCGTCCCCTCACTAGACAATCCATTGATCACAGTCCCACTGTTGTTTGCCTCTATATGAAATGGGTTAATATCATGCACTGGATTTACAGGACTCGTTGAAGCTTCTACCAATAGCGCGCTTCCTACGACACACAACGAATTTACATGGACTGCCGAACGCCATTCATACACCTCGCTATTCAAAATACCCTTAAGAAGATGTTCCCCGCGCGCAGGTCTGTAGGGGTTCCAACCCACTCTGGGTCCCCTTGAGGCCTCGGCAAGAGCCTCCTCACTACAAACGCTACACAACAGACGCTGCCACAAATCTCTGAGTCGTTTTTCGGTGCCACTTTCCAGCATCGTGCTGAACCCGGCGCACCAGTCAAAGCGGTCAGCGCTTTGCACATACGTCATTCATTGACCACCAGAAATAAAGCAAAACCCGACTTCTTGCGTGTGTGGTAAACGCACAGCGATGCGAGCACTTCCTTCCTTCTCGTTGGGGGCACAAAGAAAGTGACAGGATACTCTTTTTTTTTTTTTTTTAGAAGGTAGGTAAACAACAACCAAAAGGAGGGCTATGAAATCCTGCAACTAAAAAATCAACAAGAACAAAAAAAATGCAAGGCCCTACCATCATCAGCGAAGCAAAAAAAGGGAAAAATAAATCAAAGGTAGCCCAATTCTGTCCAGCGCAAAAAAAAACACGCATACACATACACACGCGCACAAACATGTGCACTCAATAACAGTCGTAGAAAGGGATGGAAATAAAATCCAAAGGAGATAATAAAAGAGGCATAATGCGTCACTTGCCTCTGTTAATTCCACGCACAGCCAAACAAAAATAAAAATAAAAACGAAATAACGATATGATGCTATTTGTTGTAATCGTTTCATTCGTTTCACTTTTGTTTATCCGTGTCCCCCCCCCCCAGACTGTTTGTACGTTCCAGGCTGAGAAAGAAGTGCCGGTGACAATCATCGCAGGCCCCACAGCTCTATGTACGCAAACGTGCGTGATTTTCTATTTCTTGGAAGGCACCGCAGTAGTGCCCTTTGGTGTCTTTTTCTTCTGCATTCTCCAAAGCTTGGCAATGGCCGCCACTCGTTTGTTGTACTTCTTCTTCTGAACAGCATGTGCGTGTGGACGCCCCTTTCGTACATCCTTCCATGTCTGGAGGTCCGTCACTTTGGATCGCAGCGAGGCAGTCACCGCAGACACCCTGCGGGACGCCGCCGGCTGCTTCTGAGACCGCCTGCTAGCTCCCCTCTTCAGTGCCTCATGCTTATTCCTTACGGTTGTCTGTGTCTTCTTTCCGGAAGCGACCGCTTTCCTCAGATGTTGCTTCTGTTGTTTATCTCCTGCCACAAACCGCAAGGAGCGCACTCGTCTCCGCAAAACGAGGGATGATTCAACTACAGGTGGCGGAAGGGTCTTTTGTGCGCTGTTTTGCGCTGTTGCCGCCCGTGCGGGAACCAATTTTGTGCTCAAGCACCGAGCGATGCAGAACACAAGTAGTGCGTTGCCGCCTCGAAATGCACAGGCTCGACGGAGCATGCGTGGCTGCCGTTACAGTGCACGATGCACAATAAATACAGATGCGAAGGAAGAGAGCAGGGGAGGAGGAGGGGTAAGAAAGAAGACAAGGCCTCCCTAATGCGTTGAGTCCCGTTCCCGCTCACACGCAACAACGGAGAGGTGAAGAGACACGTTGCGTACACGCCTTCTCAATTCGTGGAACAAAAGAAGAAGAGAAAAGAGATGACCCTGCGCAAACAGGCAGAAGAAGAAAAAAAAAACAATTTAAGGTACATGTGCAGTAGTGCATCTGCATTCGAGCAGCTGAAGAAGCACACACGCCCCATAATATGTTTTAAAAGAGATGGAAGCAAGCAGCAGACAGAATGCTGAGAGGGAATTTGTAAAGAGAAAAAAACAACAACACAAAGGGAAAAGAGACCAAATTCACACAGAGGTTACACCTCATCCGTCACGGAGACAACATCTCATGATTTTCGCAAAAACAAACCAATAATCGCTGCCACGGCAGCAACTGCACCGACTCCAGCTAAGCCTGTGGCAGTTAAAGTCATATTCACTTCAGCATCAATGTACTGCTTCAGCGCAACCGCCTGGCGGTGGTCCGGTTGGAGTTGAAGCATTCGGTTAACACATGTCAAAGCCGTGTCATAGTTGCGAAGCTTTATCCATCCAACAGTTAAATAATAGTATTGAATAAGAAGATCATCCGTGGGGCTCGCACTTTTTCGTCCCGTGTCCCTCTCTTTTTCCTCTATTCCAACTTCAGATTTGGACTGCAATTCCTCCTCCTCATCACAGTCATGTTGTTCTGGGGGGGCGGAGGCCCCATGAACAGGCTTGCCGCGCACCACATCGGTTTGGAAGCCCACCTGCCCACCCGCCATAAACCTCGTCTTGTCTACCGCTGAACCTGCCAAATTGTCCAGGCGCTCCTTCCAGGAGGTATACAGCAAAGACTCCATGAGACGCACGCCCTCCTCAATGTAAGAGGCACGACAGTGCATGATCAGAAGACACGCATACTGAAATGCGGCATCCGAGTCCGTTACGTTACACTCGTATTTGGCACGAACCCGGTCCAGAGTCTCATCGAGCCCCGCCAACTCCTGCGGCGAAGGAAACAAGATGCGCTTCACGTTTGGGTCCTTGTTAAAAAACTCCTCAATGATGTCAGAAGCAGCCCCCATTACTAGTTTTTATTATATGTTGTACTCTTGGTGTTGTTTCAGTTGTTTATTTTCTCCTCGCCTGGCAGACGTCTCCACAAACGTGAAGTCACGTTATTCCTCCTGGTGTGATCAGCTACCGAAAGGCACCACCTGTGTGGCGCCGGAGAGTCCCCACCCCACACACGGAAAAAGAGGGGAAAAAGAAATTAAAAACAAAAGGCACTCGTATGCCGCACAACAACAAAAAAAAAAAAACAGCTGTCAGTGGACCACGGCCGTCATCACGCACGCGCCCCCAGCCCAATTACCGCAAAAGTAAACCGAACACAAAGGCGAAATATCCAACAACAACCAACAATAAGGGTAAAAAAAAAAAAAATTAAAAGAGTCAATAATGGCCGTCCCACATAAATGCATTACTTGTCTCCTAGGAGGAGTCTTCTTGGGCCAACTTCAAAGACTCCTTTAACGTCTTTGTAAACTCCGCGCCGTGCGCTTCCGCCTGCTGTCCCGTGTACTTCACAAAGTAAGTTGCAACCCCGTTATTTTTTGGTACGGTAAAAATGACGTGTGTGTCCTCTGCCTTCGTGAGATAAAAATTACTGCACAGTAGCTCGTTGAGGGCGTAACCATCGCGAACAGTCAGGCGATAAAGACACTTTCCTGCCTCCTCCCCGTCCTCGGCTTTTGAGGCGTTATGTCGCTTCACTTTCGCGTCACCGGCGCCACATTCCGCCCAACTTTTCGTTTCCGACTTAAATATAAACAGCTTACAAGACACACACGCCAGCACATCTTCGGTTGAAGGTGTGACAGGATCCGCTTGCGCAAGTGCGGCGCTGGGGGCAGGCTTCTCTTGTGCAGGTGCTTCCTCTTGTGTGTTGGCAGCTGTCTTCGCCATTCGCTCCTTGGCCGCCGCAAAAGTGTTTGGGGCACCGCCGAACTTGAACGTCCCTCCAAATAGAGATGTCCCCGCACCTTCCTCGTGACCAGCGGCAACGACACTATCATGGGTCTTGTTGGTTTTATCACTGTTGTCGCTTGCATCGTTGACGCCAGTACTGCTCCTGCTGCTAACACCAAACGTGAGGTTTTTGGCTCCTGCGAAGAGACTACCCGCCGTCTTTCCATCAGAAAGCAAGGACGCTGTGGCCGGTGCAGAAGTGGCACCGCTGCTGCTGTTGGTGTTGGCACTGTCGCTTGCCAGAAACTTTGTGAAAAGTGTTGGCCCCCCCGCCGGCGAGATGGCAGGCACTGCCTTGAATGCCCCTCCCAACGACGGTGCTGCATCACCCGTCGGCGCACGTTGCACCCGCACAATGCGTCGTTGAGCCATTGTTTCGGCATCCGCGTAGTTTGGTGTGTTGTCCAGTACTTCATCTCGGCCAGTTAGCTCCAACGGTCGCCTTTTGCGGCGTTCCAAATCGTCCGCCATTTAAGTAAAGTTCACCCTGATTATTTGCTGATGTCGCTACCTCTTTATTCGCTTGTTTGTATTTGTGTCTGTCCGTGTGTGTGTGTGTGTGTGTGTGTGGTGCCCCTCTTCTCACTCCCTCTTTGTGCCAACTTCGACACTCTGTGGCTGTCTCTGTGTGGAACCCAATAGTAGTATGCTGCCCCGCCCGTCCCACACATGCACATATACACCCCCAACAAAAAAGGGGGCCAGTAGAAAAAATGAGAGAGAAAGAAGGAAAATAAAAAAAAGAACGTGTGTAAAGAACAAAAAAACAACAAAAATGAAGAAGAAACGTCATTAAACCGCACCGCCTATCCCACCACCGCTGCTTACCAGCACTGTGCCTCAACCTCTCCTCATAGCAAACCAACAAAGCAGACCCAGCAACCAAAACACGAGAGATTGATGTATATAGTCTACATTTAAATGTCATACAAAGGAACGGCGTGGGACAAAATGTCAAGCGAGAGAGAGAGAGGTAGTGAACATACACGCACCAAGAGAGGAGGACGTGCGTGCTCTCATTTTTTTCTTGCACTACCTGAATCTGCCTTCTCCAGTTCCAACTCCAAAAGGCTTGAGTGAACCTTCGGCAGAACCCCCCCACCAAAGAGTACAATGCGTTTCCCCTTTTCACTCACGCACCCAACGCAGCCTCCGCGTCCCACAAAGTCATCCTTGTCAAAAGAAATCACACACCACTTGAAGTCCGTCAAGGAAAGCTGAAGAATTTGAAGTAAAGGGCCCTTCTCATCCTCTCCAAGACACACCACCAGATAGCCGTTTGACACCGCGGCCACGCAGCCTTGACGCCTGGATGGAACGCTGATGCACGGCTGACACATCCACCTGTTCTCTCCCCCGCGCAGCGACAAGATGTGAAGATCACTTTGTAGGGAGGATGCAAACCCTCCAAAGACCAGCAGTCGCTCACTCACCATGTCAAACGCAATGGCCGCATCATCGCGTGGTGACGGTGGAGTTCCCTCTTTAACCTCAACCAACTCCCACGTTGCAACGCCTTGCTCAACCAAGGTACTCAATCGCAGACGCCAAACATCATTCAACCTTCTTTCACCATTAAAACCGCCAAAGAGATACACCACTGGTTTCTGTGATGTGCCTCCCTCATCGCCAGCAGCTCCCAACACCATCCCATGACAGACCCGAGCCGAGGGCGCTGGTCCAACGGGAGGTACCAAAGTCCATTGGTAACTAATCGTTTCCTTGCCACTGGTGTTCGAGATCTCTGGGTTTTTTGGGACAAGCATCCAAAGGTTTTTGCTGTACGTCTCCCCATTCCAACCACCAAAAAGAAGACAATAGTCTCCAAAGGCGACAGCAGCGGCGTCTCTTATCTTTTCTGGTAACGATGGTCCTTTTGACCATAGCTTTGTGAAGAAATCAAACTCCGCCAGCTGTGAAAGGCTATGACCAGTTCGTGGATCATAGCCACCACAGAGATATACCCTTTTTTCAGTGCAGGCTAGTGCACCTCCAAGCACCTCCCTAATTAATTCACCAGCGTACGGGAGAACCGACTTCACAGAGGAGGACTCGCTCCATTCATACTTGTTGAGCTTGCGATGAAATAAGTCAGCTGACATGTCTTAAACTTCGTTTTACGCACCCTGCGTAGTCATTTAAAAAATTAGACTCAATGGCAATCACCAAGAAAAATAAAGTAAAATAAACGCACCTCACAATTTCGGAAACAGTTGTTAAAAGTTCTCATAATTACAAAGCCAATAAGTATTCATCTGCATAATGCACCTTTTCGCACCTCATCTTTTTCTTTAAAGGGTCCATGTGGAAGGAAGAGACAAGTCCCACCCACTGCGAGTAGCATATATATATATTACACTACAAGAGTCCTCCTCCCCACGCAAAGAAAGCCAGGCACCCACACCTTTTTACGTCATCCTTGAAGCCTCGCAATTGAAACTGTCACGCTTGTTTTTCGCTTCTTGCTCCTTCCTTCCAGTAGTGTTTTCCTCATCCTGTTCAATCAAAATAAAGAAAAGAGGAGCGGGCTAGGCGATGGGTTACCGCCCTCCCGTTCTTTGGTGCTGCAGCTCTTCCTCATATCAAGTACTGCTTCTCGTTTGAGTGCAGCCATTATATATATATTTGGTCGCTTGTTTGTTTGAGTGGCAAATTGCACCGTGTAGCAGCAATTGTTGCTGCTACATGACGCAGCACTTGGAGTCGACATTTGTGTAGCCGATGTGGCCCCGAATCCGCTGCTTCAGTGAGGCGGGAATTTCCACAGCGCCCCCGACGAGAAAATCAACAAAGGTTTTTACCTGAGCTGGGGTAAAGCAGCCGAAGCACACACCTCCATGCTTACTGTACAACAGGACATTCCCAGCGTAGACATGCCCACCAACGTGAGAACATGGGTAAACGTGAATAGATTCATCATCGCCCTTCCTGGCTTTGATAGACTGGCGCAGAAGATCCACCAAAACGGCGCCACAGTACCCGCAACGGTGATCACGAGAACGATGAGAGCAAACAAAAACAAACAACTCATTTGAGCGATCGCAGCTGACCGCACCGTTGGATTCCCATGGGAGTTCCTCTTCTGTGATGCAAGAATACTGTGTAATGAGCAGCGACGCCAAAGACTCCTCATATTTAAATCTCAAAATACACGTATCAGGACCAGGACGGTAATAAACGGTGAGCTTCTTGCCCCCCTCCGAATTGACAGCCTTTTCAAGTGCAGTATAACCCGGAACATTTCCTGTTTTTGCATCCCACTGCGTTGCAGTTAAGTTGGTGGACAGAAATACATGTTCCTTGAATGCTATGCTTCCTGGAAGCTTATCTGGTAGGGGTCCACAGCACTCCTCCCTGCCAAACCCAAACAGCAGCGGATCAAGGCCCTCAATGTCCTTCAGAGTCTCCTTTGAGAGGCGAGACACGAATTCGTCTTGACTACTCTCAACAAATGTCATTCTTGTGGTGGTGAGCTTTATAAGCTCCTGAAAGGCAAAAAGACAATAATAATAATGCTGCTGCGTAAGAAGAAATACGCCACCCCCGCGCAAAGCCACACAAGACCTCACTCACAACCAGCAACAGCAATAGCAGTAGTAACAGTAACAAGAGGGTAGGATAAATGACAAGAAAACAAAACTCATCCCATATCGGATGCGACCTCAACGTGCAGAAGTTTCGTTGTTGCCGTATTTTGTCATCATTTTATCCCCAACATCACCCCTCATTGTTGCAAACGTCAAACACCACCTCACTACACTAATGCTCTGCCAAATTTAACCCGGTGCTGCGAGCATGAGACTTGGCACTTAGCGGATCAGCAAGCCTTGGCCTCTTCAGCATTATCTTCGGTACGCAGTAGGGAAAGACGAGGGCGTTGCACACCGGGTTAGGGGATTCCTCGCCCACCGTCGTTGTCTCCCAGCTTCGTTCCTTCCGCAGCTTCCCTATCTTGGCTAACTCTAACTGACGCTGACGATGGGCGGAAAGTCGATCGCGAAAGAGTGTGACGACTGGGGGAACGACAAACTCAAACTCGCGCTCGTTAAGTGAGCCGTCTGTTTGAATTGTCAGGGTCTTGTGAAAGCGCGGAAATCTTGCCCGCTCAATCGCAAGCTCCTCTGCAAACATTCCTCTGTTTTCTAAATGTTGCATATCACTGGTGTGGCGGTCCTTGATAAAGGCACGCAACACATACGGGATCTTGTAGTCGGCAGGAAGCAACCGCGGGTGTAAAGGGATCACACGGGCAAGAGGACGCAGCCCTGGCGGCGGTGGAGCACTTTTGCTCACCACTGCCCACTTGTGCAATACCATCGCTGAGGGAAAGAGAGAGAGATCCCGTCGCTCGGTGAACCTTCAATCTTCCACCGTAAAATAAAGAAATAAAGTATCCCTCCCTTTCCTGGTGACCACCTGTAAACCAAGCACAGAAGACCAACAAATAAAAACAAAAAGAATGTGGCAAAGAGAGACAGGTGCTGAGAACACACACAGAGAGAGAAACAACAGCAATAACAATAGCAGTAACGCATACAAGCCGCCGTCACACCCAAAACGAACGTTGCTCAACGAATAATTTCCCGGTGTATCTTTGATGGCCTGCTCCACAGCTTCCGCCAACGTCTACATGAGCATATGCAAAGCAGCTCCCTCCAATCAAGTGTTCCCCACACACCTTTGCCTCGCCTCATATAACGTTTCTGGGGAGAGGGTGCAAAACGTCTCATCCGCCTCCAACATCACCTGCAACAGCGGGGAGGGCGGGGCGGTGGCACCCATTTCCCGTGACATGTAATTCATATTACGCAGCAATGTAACGCATCCCACGCCACCGTCCAAATACGATAGAAGACCGCCCGTGGATGGATGCAAAGTCAGGGCGCCAATGGAAACAAGATTAATAACATCTACTGCTTCCACACACCCATCCAGCAGCATGCGACAACTTTCATTCACAAGAGCAAACAAAAGCCGCAGGCAAATATCGCTCCGTGACAATTTCCTCCGCACCACAAACTCGGTTGCAACCTCCAGATTGAGGTCCCCGTAACGGGTGTAAAATCCTCCACGACGACTACTTTCACCACCAAACCCTTCAACCTCCATTGCTGACAACACACGGCTCGCTATGGCGGGGACTCGCCTCTCATCCATCAAATGTGAGTGTCGTCTCATCACGTTTGCAATGTGCGCCATACCGTAGTGGTCAAGTAGCTGAAATGGGCCAATGCGGAAGCGCAATTCCTCCATTGCGACGGCCTCGATGAGCTGTACCTCGGCTTCTGTAGCTAGTCGAGACAACTCCAGAGCAAGGACCGCCACAAGGCGAGCACCAGCATCCCCCCTAGTGACAATGTACGGCACCTCCCTGGACTGAAGATACGCCAATGCAGAGGAGAGTGTCTCCCACTGCTGACTTTCGCTGACGTGTGGGGCGCAGAGAAGCTGAACCTCTACCATATCGCCTTCGCCCAGAGAAGGCAATTTAAACGGACGAAGAGGGGTAGCGACCACAGCGCAATCCAACAAGTCAGTAGCATCTTTGACGCTTGCTGCATCGCCTCCCATCAGCAAAGCACTTCTAATCACGTCGTTTCCACTGAAACTGCGATGTTCCGTAATAAACCGAACTGTTGCATGTGAAGAAGCCTCTGCAAAGACACAAAAAGCTTCTCCTACCTTGATCTCGTTCATATTGGTTGGTCGCACTTCAATGATGCTTCTCTGTGTGAGTGGATTTAACACTCGACTACGCATACGACGAAGTGCCATAGTCACTGATGCGGTGTTACAAAAGTCAGTTGTTCCCAGGAGTGTCACATACATATTGATACCTCGGGAGGCAGCCTCCGCCGCAAGAACAGCATCCGCGTCACCTTCTGTGGTATCCAACAAGGCACAGTAGTCGTCCCAGCGATGCATCAAAATATCCTTGTGGTTCCCTTTAGAAGAGAAATTTGTGCCCCACCCAAGTAAATAACAAAGCCAATTCCATTGCAATCTGAAGAGTTTATATGCCTTTTTCTTCAACCAGTGCAAGCTACGATCAGACTGTAGCAGGCCAGGATGCGTTTCATTCAACTCACTCCATGAAAAAGTGTGAAGGATGGGAACTACCAGCCCAACCCTCTCGTTGTAGCCCAGGAACCTGGATATACGCTGTAGCACGCACGGTGCTGGCCAGACTCCAAGAGCAATAGAAGGGAACCCAACGGTTATTGCGCTGCCGGAGACTTTTGATTCCAATACGATCTTCCTATCACACATAAAAAACAATTCAGCGCCAAAATCAAGCGCAGATTCATTCAATTCCGCCCTAAACAACACCCCATGAAGTCTGGCTTCTCGCATACGGCAAAAGAGTCTTTCCTTTTCCCTCAACAACTCTGCACGAGTTAAATAACTCAGTTCTAGTTCTGAGCGTAGCGGGGTAAAAAAAGGAATACCTGGCGCTGAACGAAATACGACAACAAGGCCCTCACTTAGTTCCGTCGCAGCTTCTACCTCATTTAAGGCCTGGCCAATTGCAAGAGTCATAGCACGCGCGCATCGAGGTCGCTCACGAAGCTCCAAAGTAAAAGCACGGTTAGCAGATTTCAACACGTGCACAGTAACAGCATTATTAGAGGCTGGAACGTCCTCAGCATCCACCCAACAGGAAAGCTTCTCATAGTGACGGACTGCTGCAAACACACACGGCTCAGCTGGGGATTCCATTGGCGCAAAATCCATTGTCTCAGGCTGTGGGTCCTGTGAACACCTCACTGAGGAAACAGTATTCTTGTCTCTCTCGTCGCATTCATACCCTGCTTTCTGCATGTCAGTGTCTACACAGTTCTCAGGCTCACCCACTGCTGATTCTTTTGCCGACAGCTTAAACAGCTCCTCCTCCAATTCCTGCAAAGTACAAGCAATGTCCGTGAATGCTGGTGGATCTTCTATTGCCACAGAGCCTAGCGGTAGATGCGTACTTGTTGCCGGGAAGGCGGGCCTCTCATGTGTTTCGGTATGACTCCTCCCTGTCAAGGCCGCTGCCGGTGTCCATGTCTGTCGCAACTTCGATGCGGAAACAGAACGCTTATGCTCCCCAACACCACGTCGCTTCCACAAGTCATTGATCTCTCTAAGAAGCCCGTTAATTTCGCTGCCAGACCCCCGCGATGCTGCGGGGTTGTGCGCCTTGCCCGAGAACGACGTGACTACACGACAACACGCCATGGGACAAACAGAGTGCCCTATCGGGGGGAAACGGAAAATTGTGGGACGGTGGCGGCTGCCATGCATCGCTCGCCGCTGATATCCTCACTGAAAGCTGGGGAGAATCAAACAAAAAAAAGAGGGGGGAGGGGACATCTCTGAAAACAAAAAAGCAAAACAAATTCCTGTACTGCCACACCCCATATAACCTCGAGGAATCCTCAAAAGGCAAAGTCCCTTTCCACTCCGCAGCGTACCCCACATACACAGACACCCTTCACTGCCCTCTTTCATCACTGAAAAACCAGGCGACAACATCCGCCTCCGATGCGGATGGCTCAACCGATGCCGTCATCGCCTCCGCTTCCGAGTTAAATAACATTGCACATCTCAAAACATCAAAACCAAACCTCTCCACATTTGCCTTGAAAAGTAGTACATCCGACAGCATCACCGCTCGGAGGTCCGTATCCACCGCCGGAGACATCGTAACAGAACGAATCATTCGAGCAAATGTGCCAAGAAGAGGCACTACAACCCCGCGACAATCCTCGACAGGCAAAAGCGGCTTCATTGCTCGCATTAAACGCGCTGTCTCTCGAAGCATCGCCATTACCCACTCATTACCAGACATTTTCCACTGCTTCTCGGAGACGGTCCCAAGTCCATCAATTTTATCCTTGACTACGTCCGATATCCTTCCAAAAAGCTCACACCGGTGTGTCGCGCAGTCCTTGCGAACTCGCTTTATGTCCTCAACGATGGCCGGTGATAACTTATCAACAGTTGCTGCACGAAGCCAACGCTTCTGCATAAGCGGAATGCCATCACACAAAAAAGCCAGATTCTGCGACGCAACAGCCATATTTTGTGTTGTTATCGTCTGCAGCACACCGTTTTCCACAGCCATTGCACCAAGGAGGAGGGCTGCAGACCGCGAATCGTAAAGCGTGAAGAGGTCATACATTTTTCCCATCACATCAAAGGCAAGAAAGGGAAACCGACCCAAGTAGTCGTCGCATTCGTGCAACAACTCAATCAGCATCAAAAGCGACCTACTCACCACCCGACCCTCCGTACGACCATCCACAGTTGGAAGCAGAATCAATTTCTTTGCACAAGTATCGCACGTTTCCAAAGGCTTGGAGGACGATGCAGACGGCCCCAAAGCGGCTACCACCCCCGTCACTGCAGTCGTAGCTGTTGCTTTTCTTGTGATCGTTGGTGCCATAGGGTGGCGAACCCCGTTCTCACCCATAACCTCAGTGAACACGGCGCGTGCCCGAAGTTCCTCAATAGCTGTATCGTCACTTCGGCAAAGCGTATCCACGGAGAATTGAAAGGCAGGGTCAACAACCTCCGGCAGCCACGTTTCATTCTCAATGGTCACACGTAACTTCTCAATACTCTCCGCGTGGTGCACTCGGAGGTGCTCCTTTGCCAGCCGCGTCACAGCTGACTTAATTCGCTTTCCGGATACGAACCCCCATGGATCACCAATGTTGCCACAGATTGCCAAAACGCCCTGTAAGTTACTCACAATGTTAGGTAGAAAAGCACAACCCATAGAAACAAGCCCCTCGAGATCACGAGCATTTGTCGGCGTCTTCCCGTCGTGACTTCGCACCTCTAGCAGAAGAGCGATAATACTCTCCGCAGCTGCACACAATGACGAGAAGTAGTGTCGTGTGTCTTCTACACTCACTTTTTCAGCACTTGCGGCAGAGGATGCGGGAGCAACCTCCACAAGAAGAAGCCCCCATCGCTGGCCAGCTTGAGTGACAAAGTCAATCACGTGATCCGAAATAAGGCCTATTAACTGCATGTAGACGGCAAAGCGACAGGTGTTGGAATGTTTTAAAAAAAACAATTTCTCTTCACGGGATGCATCAGCTGAAACAGCGGTGGAAAGAAGATTATTGGCTTCAGAGTCACTAAGTTTACAATTACTCATAATAAAGGCTATAAAGGTTTCACGAACTGTCATCCACAGTGCATCTGTAAGAACATCCCTGCATTGTCGTATAGCGGTATGCCATATTCCCATTCTATGCACGGAAATAAATGTCCTATTGATGTGACTATCGTCCACAACCACGCGCTGCGCCGGAAGAAGAATCGTCTCCAACTCTTCTACAATTATCATGCAAAGTTTCTCCTTCACATGCAACACGCGACGTGGAACAGCCTTCAGTGCGGACACTTTTGTGATCCACCCCGCCTCAACAGCAGCAATACCTCTAGAAGAAGTTCCATTTCCGTGCTCCGTTAAAAGTGCCTCCTGCACCGTGTAAAAGACGTCAACAATGACTGGCAGTTCCATCATGTCCCGTTCGGGAAGTGCCACCCAATTTTCAATGGCTATAATTTGAGAAGAAACCGTCACTACCATTTCCGCCAGATTACACAAAGAGCCAAGGTTATTCCTGCTTCGATAACACCGTGCGACCATAAGCATTTCTCGAACCAGTCCCTCACCAAAGGCTCCAATTCCCGCCCGTGTTTGCCGGAGACCCTCAAGGGTCTCTTTTGCCTCCGCAGCCCGGTCCCTAAACTCATGGGAGGCCGCAAAAAACTGCTCTGAGCGACTTTGGACATGCTTCAAAAGACATCTTTCCACTTCGCTTTCCCACTGACGAAGCTTCTTCATTCGAGACTCCATCAACTCAAAATCATCCCCAAATGTTTGTGCATTAACGGAAGCGTCAATCTCGTCCTCAACTTTACAGTCGCCTCTGAGTTTCCGCAGGTTACGCTCCAGCAAGCAAACCTCACCATCCGAATCATAAGCGGAACCAAAAAACTCTTTTGGAACACCGCTTGGCCACGGAAGATTTTCCGTGGAAAGAGAAATGTTGGCAAGATCAAGCCGCGCATTTGTATCCGTCATCACCGGTGCTTGCCGACCTTCTTCCCGATTACTATTGTACGGTGCGGTAACAAGCTGAAGGTAGGAAGAGTAGTCTTCCTGCAAATCATAGCGTGCAAGCAGTGTCTCAGACGATAATGACGAAAACGAAGACGGTCCCAGACTTACAGCCGTCTCAGAGTGTTTTGTCTGGGCATTACGATCCAAAGCGCCCGACATGACACTTCCAAGCCAAAAGCCCCAATTAGAGGTGGTCTCTGCCACATCGTGGGGGTCATTCAAGATGGAAATAAAGCTCTGGCCGACGCTCAATTCCAGTTCGACAAAATATGACTGTGTGACAGGGTCAAGGGCGGAAAATGAGCCATCGTCCTGCTGATATTCCAACGCACCAGCAGACGACGAAGACGCCGCCTCAACAACCTCCTTCACCAGTGATGATGGTAACGATTCCTCGTTGTTCTCAGCAATCCAGAGTGCCAGCTGCGAGCGAAGTGCCGCTGAGGAAACGCCGTTGCGGATGCATTCCTCAAGCACAAGGGGTGGAATACCCAACGTTAGAGCAATGCGAGAAGGGCTCCAACCGCGCCTCGCCATAAGAAAGGCACAGAGCATTGCTGCAGCGTCATGCGGACTCTCGTGTATTCGCAACGGCGCAACGTCATCGTCTCGCCTTGATGACATTTAGCCCCACTCGTCTCGTCTTTTGAGTCTGTATAGTGTGCGCGTACGTTGAGAATGGGTACAGGGGCAGGGGGCTGCTCGTCCCTCTTCCTCACCGTACTCTAATGCGCTTTCGAGCCAAAAAAAAAAAACCCACGGCGACACCTCCACACGCCGCAGTACCGAAGAAACTGCGGCAGATGGGGAGGTTGCCAATTGTAGAAGAAAAAAAAAAAACAGGTCTCAAAGCGGCAACAGCGCATCAAATAGTCAAAGATGTATATTAAAAAAAAAAAATGATTGCATCAAAAACAAAATGACAGCAATAATAACAATAATAATATGGCGACAATAACTTCATAAAAAACAAACAAGTAAAAACCGTTTTGCGTCGGACAACCTCGTCCTGAATTACCCCCTTTCCCTTCCCCTTTCCCTCTCCCACCCCACAAAAAAACAACAACACAATAAGTTCTCTGTGCTCCCCAATAGAGACGCCGCATATATATGAGAGAAAAAAGAGACACGGCCTTTCTTGCGCCTGCTATCAACTTTAACTTGCTATTTTCTGTATCGCATCACATCCTCCTTCTCTTCTTTTTTATATTTTTTCTTTGTTTTTCGTGGGCCACGTAAACGGCTCTTCCCCATCGCCCCACCCTAACATTTCGTTCGTGAGCGGGAGCAACCGATGTAATCGGCGACCTTCAGTGCGTTGAAGACAGCGGTGGGTGTCATAGTTCCAGCCTCGTTCTGCATAGTATCGTCTGGGGCGCACGCCGATGTTGCCGCCTTCAAAAGCATCTCGTCGCTGACCCCGGCGCACCCAATGTCTGCAAGCTTCGTTGGCAGCCCAACGCTCTCGCAAAAATTATAGACAGTGTCAAACACGTGCGGCGGTCTGTTGGTGAGCAGGAGGCTTGCCAAGAGGCCAATGGTAACCCTCTCACCGTGCCAGCAGTCGTGCGCCTCAGGAATTTGCATCAGACCGTTGTGAATGGCATGTGCCGCACCAAGCCCCGCACTCTCAAACCCAATACCGGAAAGAAATGTGTTAGCCTCGACCACCCGCTCCAAAGCAGGGCAAGTAAGTCCGCATTCACAAGCCTGCTTGGCCAGCACGCCATACTCCAGCAGCGTTTCGTAGCACAGACGGGCAAGGCTCAACCCCAGGGCCGAGCCGAGACGGCCCGTCATGTTGGGCCTGTGGCCAAGAGCGCACGATTCCGCCTCAAACCAGGTAGCGAGTGCATCGCCCATTCCTGACACAAGCAACCGCACAGGAGCTTTAGCAACAATCTCAGTGTCAACAAGCACCAGACTGGGATTATATGGGACAAAGAGGTAGCGGTCAAATTTCTTGTCCTTCGTATAGATCACTGCAAGGGCGCTGCAAGGAGCGTCTGAAGCCGCCAATGTCGGAACCACTGCTGTGGGAACTTTCAGTTCGTACCCAACTGCCTTGCTTGTATCCAACGTGCACCCTCCGCCAATACCCACGACGAGGTCCACATCTTTGTGCCTTGAAATGCGTTTGATCTCGTCATCACAAACAGTTGCCTTTAAAACCTCCATAACAGTGGTCACCTTTCCCTTCAACACGCTCTCCAACTGTTCCCCGTACAACTGTTCAACCAGGGGGTCCTGTATCACGAGGGCCTTCTTGCCGAGGCGTAGAAGCTCATCACCCAGCAAGTTCAGCGCACCAGGCCCCTGAACACAACGGGCAGGAAATATGGAAGTTGTAATACCAACAGGCATCTGAGAGAGCAGCGTGGACGTGGCGGCAAACAGACGGGGCCCAAAAAAGCGCAACATTTGAGTTTAATTTGAAAACAATCCAAAGAAGAGACTTCAAAAGAAGAAAAAGAGCACACAAAAAAAAAGGAAATAAACAACAACAAAGCCCCAAAGAACAAACATGCACGCCGTACATGCAAATGCAGATATCACCGGTACACCTTGACGATCATAAGAACAGTTAGAAGCAGAAAAAGTTTCGACAGATGAAGCGCCAAGCACCAACGGAAATGCCTGTAGAGGCAGAAAGGAAGAAAAAAAAAATGTGTTACTGCAATGAGGGCCTTGTCCCTCAGCTGCCGGAAATTCAAAACAAACACAACGACGGATGACAATTTAGTTAGGCGCGCGCCCAGCATCCCCCACTTCAGGCAAGATGCCCCATATACTGTCACCCCATGCACAACTGAATTGTAAAAACACTCTGTGATGGATTGACCCGCGGTACGAACTCACACAATCCCTCCCCCCCGCTCCCCTCGTGTGTGCCGCAACCGCCGGATCCCTCCGCGCGGAAAGTAATAGTACGCAGTTAAAGTGGGAGACATACTCAAAAATACAAGAGCAATGAAAAAAAAAACTTCGCCTGCTTCCTTCAACACAGTATCTTTCAAAACGAAACAAAAAAGGAATCAATTCATCGGTAGACAAACGGAGTAAGTTCAACAAGGCACTCTCTCATGTATTTGACCTCACCTGGTCGCAACTTGCTTCAAAAAACTTCCATCTTTTATATTTATTTTTTTTAACTAGAACTATAACATCCGTGTCCCCCATTATCTATGATAATTGGCGCCAATAGAAATACACAACAGTCTTCCTTATAAGCATTCAATCATTTTGATTTCACAATTCTACGTGATGCACAGTGAACGATTCTTCGTCTTCAGCGGCACTCAAAGTTCCCCACATATCCTCTTCTTCATAACGATTTTTTGTATGAAAATCTTCAGCAACAACGTCTTCAAAAACGTCAGACAAACCAGAACCTATGACAGCAGGGGATCTATGCGCGCTCCCGAAACTGCGCTCCACACTCTCTGGCGCTGACGACATCTGTGCCTGTGCCAAACAAGATGGGCCTGAGTCCACACCCACATCAGCAGCAGCAGCAGGCGTTGAAGTGATATCAGCGGGAGGCGAAGGTACAACAGCCGGCAGCGGCGGTGGCACCTTTACACGTATAGGAATCGACGGTTCTGGGCTTTCGACGACGTCAGCTGAAGGCATTAATGCAACGTCTGATACTGGGGATCCGTTCCCTGTTAAAGAGAGTAATGACTTCAGATTAACGGCGTCACCAGCTGTCAATGGAGTAAGAGGAGGATCCTGCTCATTTCCATGCTTGTTTGTATCTATGATCGCCACGGTTATTTCTGCTTTTGGCTCCCTGGGACTTCTTTTTGTCGATATCATGAAAATGTCATCCTCTTCACTGCTGCCAACGGTTGTAGTTGTGGCAGGCCCCTGCAGAACAGGGACGAGTTTACTGAGGTTATTTTCATCCTCATCTTCAAGGTGCGCATGATGACTTAGCAAACAGCCTTCTCGTCCACCTTTTTCGTTAGTGCCACTATGGCTATTTTCCTGTTGTTGTGCTTTCCCTGTAGAGGAGTTTCTATCTTTCATGCCATCACTTTCAACACTGCTCTTTATCGAAGGCGGCGACTTCAACTTTGATAGAGATGATGTCGATGACGTGGTTATGGGGGGCGAGGACGGCACAGACGGAGTTAGCGCTTTGACCCACTGCAAATCCAAGCTCTTTGGTACCTGAACTGCCCTTGGTTGGTTCTGTTCGCTCGAATGCGAGGGCATTCTGCTCAGCAACAAACGCAACTCCCGCTGTCGTTCATCTTGTCGCCCTTTTTGGGCTTGCACCTCTGCCTCGAGGCGATCTCGCTCGGTGGCACCCTCGACTGCCAAGCGTTCGTACCTCTCCTTCCACATGATGCAGCTATGCCTGAGTTGCGCCTCCTTTTCCCTCGCTAAGGCGCGCTCCTCCTGCAGAATCTTTTGAAGACACTTTTCAGCGCTATCCTTTGTATCCGCTTGTTGGCGTGCAAACTCCAGTCTTTGAGACTCCTCACGCGCATTTTGCTCCCTCAACACATTCAGAAGAGCATCACGCTCCTTAATGATGACAAAGATCTCATCAGGGTCACCCACCGTTCCCACAAGCCGCCTTAGCTGGTGAAGGTTCTCCGTTGCCTCCTTGAGCTCCGCACGAGCGCATTCCAATTTTTCTCTGGTGCGTGTCAACTCAATAGATGCCTTTCTTAGCATACGCAACTCTTTGCAAAGCGCCCTATTTTCTCCCTGCAGCTGCTCCACAGTACTCTGACTACGCATGGCACTCTCTAAGGAGCGTCCCAGCGCCGCAGTATTTTCGGAAAGCTTATTCCTCAATTCTTGAATGACGTCATCCTTTGCTTTCAAAGAGTCAACGGCCTCGCGAAGGCGAGACTCGACACAGCTCCTCCGCAATTCATTCCCCCGACATCCCTGTGTTGTGGATGAGAGGCGAGTCACCTCTGCCTGATAAACTGCAAGCTCCGTCTTCAATTCCTGCAGGTGGGCGACGCGGGCATCACGCTTCCACGTTGAGAGCTGTGCAGTTACCTCACGTAACCGCGTTTCTAAACTGTTGTTTTCGTCCACGAGACGTGCCACTGGTGTGGTACAGGTAAAGTTTTCGTCTTCAGCTAGAGGAACCCCCATCTTAGGGGTACTTCGTGCCAGTTGTGCACGCAGAGCACGAACAGTCACTTCAAGCCGCTTGATCTGCACGTTTTTCTCTCGTAGTTCGGCCATGCACTCACTCCTATCGCGTGCAAGGAGGAGTACCCGATCATCATTAGAGAGACCCCCTTGTGCATCCATAACACGGTCACGGAACCGCTTGCTGTGCGATTCCTTGTATGGTGCGCCAACTTCTTGAGGCTTAGTCGACACTGACGCGGGTCGTGTGCGTCGGGGTTTGGGTGTCATGCCCTTGGGCCCAAGCCGGTTAAGTGAAGTGAAAGTGTCAACCATGTGCAGACCCTGTAGCGGGGGCGGGCCAGTAGAACCCGTCGTTATGTGCTTTGCCTTTGAAGAAGCACATATTCTACCGCTCAAGAAAAGCGGCCCTGTCGCAAGAGACGCTGTCATCGCCGCATCAATCACCTCACCTTCATGTGAAACCGTTGGTGCGGGGTTTCGCACCGTGCGGGGCTCAAGGAAATCAGCAGACGTCTCTAACTTATCCACCTCCGTTCTCTGTTTTCCCAGCAGATTACCTTCCTCGACATCCATCTACAATCACTGCATTATTGTTTGTGCATGTATGTACGTGTATATTATAGAGAGAAGAAAAGAGGAGAAGCGACGGGTTTGCTTCATGTTGTTTCATGTGTTTGGAAAGAGTGCAGGTGGGGAATGATATAAAGCAAAAAATGGCCCAAACAGTTGGGCGTGATCCCTCCCATGTCAAAAGCAACACACTGCGGCTGCGAAGAAAACAAAAAATGCGTGGTGCGCGTGATACCAGCAGAAGGAAGTAAATTCATCACATTCTGGGTTATATGCTTCGCCTGAAGAAGAGGTGCGACTGTCATTCGCCCCCAGAAAAGGCAACGGTAAAACCCCAAACTGTTTGGGTGGCCCGCCACATTAAGGAAAATGGTGGGACCGCACATGCCCTCCAACCACGCAACGTATCATACCCTCACGCAAGCTGAGGCACATAAACCAAAAAAAAAAAAACAGAAAAAAGAGAAAAAAAAGGCAGGAATACATCTGGAATTTCCCCCCATCATAGCCCTCATTCAGCGAAGAGGGGCATTGCACCGCAGCTGTTCTACTACCCATGCCACACCCACATCCAACCCTTCTCCCGTCTTCGCTGAGCAAGATTGAACACGCCACTTGCGGCCCTGCACCTCGTTCAGCTGCAAAACGGTTATGAGATCTTCAGCGGTCACCGCCCCCAAAATATCCTGTTTATTTGCAAAGAGCAAAAGTGGCACACCCGCCAACTTTTCCTCCTCCAATATGTGATACAGCTCCAACTTCGCCTCCTCCACACGTTGCATGTCAAACGCGTCAATAACAAAGATGAGCGCATCCATATCCCCAAAATAATATCGCCAGTACTGCCGAATAGACTTCTGACCTCCAATGTCCCACACACTAAGCTTCAAACGCCCAACGGCAAGGATTTTGATGTTAAACCCCTGCGTTTGCATCGTGTTTAAAGTGTCATCATCGCTCAACTTCTTGAAAATGCATGTCTTCCCGGCGTTGTCCAGCCCGATAATAAGAATACTTCTGTCCCTGTGAAAAGGTTTAAGTCTAAAGAAAAGATCCAGAAGGCCCATTTCGAAGACAGGGGGAAAAACGGGAAATAATAGGGTACTTTACCCGTCCCCGACCCCCACCCCAGCAAACAGAAGAAAAGCACCGGTTCCCTGAAAGCAAGATAGTGAAGCTTACTAATAATTGAGAATGTGAGCGCAGGGAAAAGCAAAAAAAAAAACACGGGCGGACAGTGTGTGTGAATGAAGGCCATAATAGTGGTGAGAGCAAACAGCAGAACAACAACAGCAACAATAACATCAAAAAAAAAGGGGGCATAAGAAGCAATGAGTCAGGGCCAGGAATCGTGATTTGTCACAAGACATTCACGCACCCCAGCTCTGCACAGCAGTGATAAAAGAAAAAGGAAGTCGCCGCAAGGGGAAAAAATTCATACCATCTATGCGTCACTCTCTGATCACCTCAAAAGTCCCATCATCACTAAGGGCGTTTTTCACTCCTTTTGATCCCTCAACCTGGCCTATATGATGATGGCGTCTTTTACGTCGCGCTGTATCCTTCTTCTTGTGGTGGAAGTGACTTTTTCGCTTGTCATGGTGCCACTGCGGCGCACCTTCCTCTTCCATAGAGTTCCCCAGCACAATCTGCATCTGCTGGAGCAGGACACTGACATCGGCATAAATGGAAGGCGTGTAGGATTCAATTGGGGTGTTGTCTATAGACGTTTCCGCCACTTTTGATGGCGCACACAGACATGCGTTGGAATTCTTGAGAACGTCATCACCCTCATCGCTGCTGTAGTCGGTAGCCGCCGCTGGACAGTGATTGGAAGAAGTGTCCCCAGAGTGGTCAGAACCAAAAAAATTACCGTCTAAACACTGATTGTCTCCAACGTCGAGCACGTCGTCAGTAAAGTTACGAAAACCCTCATCTGGCACACACATCTGCAGCCCACCCTCATCAATCACGGTAACAGAAACGCTTGCAGCAGCAGCAGGTGTTGTGGCCCCAGGATCGCCACGAGAGATTGAGGACGCAAGTTTCGGTGTTGTTTCCGATAGCGGTAATGATAAGAGTGGGACCGTTGGTATAGGTGCCTCGGCGAGGGGCCTCTTGCACTTTCGGTGACCGCCGTCAGATCTACTGCTACTTCTTCTGTCACCACTTGTTCTTGCGTCATATCCCGCCGCATCCTCTTCCTTATCAACGTCGCTAAAAAAGTTATTTGCGATGACATTTTCATCCTCCTCCACATTGCAATGAACTCGGTTAACACCAATGATATTCAAAGTAGAAGGACCTCGTCCCCCGCCTCTCGGCAGAGCAGCGTCAGCTCCTCTTCTAGGCAAGGAACAAGAGGTCGCTTCGTGCGGCTTATTTTCGCTCTCCTGTAGCACGTCTTCGTTTACTTGCTCTTGTAGAAGAAACTTGGCTCTTTCGCTGAGCATCCATGCCCGATATTCCTCAACAAACTGAAAACACGCGTGAATGTGAGCCTCTAGCGTCGATACTTTGAGAAGCACATATGGAATCTCAAAGGCATTGCGGAGCAAGTCCATGCCATGACCGGTTGCGGCACTGATGCTCACCCAGGTCGCAGCGATTGAGTAATCCTCCGGTGGCAAACGGCCTGCAGCCGCCGCCAAAATCATAGGCGTTGTGGCCCGTCGAAGACTCTTGCAAGCAGCGTCAACGTCATGCTCCGAAACAGCATGCGCATATCTGGGCGCATCGTAAAAGTTGAGAATAAATATAACACATGTATTTGGTGGAGCATGACGCGCTTCACGCACAGCATATTCCAGAGTCTCGCTCCGAGTTCGATCAACAACAAAAGCTGCTAGTTGGCATCCTCTGTAAACATCAATGGAGCGTGCGTCCGCCAAAGTTGGGTGCGGTGTTGTGGACGCTGGTTGAGAGGCATTGAACCCCTCATCAACCACGTCCCACAACTCCACCTTCGCACCACCACAGCCAGTACTATCAGAGCCGCCGCCACTGTCAATTCCTCCCCTTCCAGCACAGCTACGGTAAAAAATCGTACCAGCACTAATTTCTGGAGAGGGTGTGTAACCGCTATGCGGAGCGTAGCCACAAAGACGTGAGACAATAGTTGACTTTCCCGTGCGACGCATCCCACGTACAACGGCCTTCATATTCAAATGCGAGCCCCTCTGTATCTCACGCTGAACATCGGGGTGTACAGGCCAAATGTTCGGGCCACCACCAGTAGACTCTCCTTTTACCCTTGCAAAGACGGAGCCGTTTCCTGTGCTCTGTGCTGAAGATGGGTTATTATCCCTTTGAAATAATCCCCGCACCTTCTTTAGGAAGGACATGCGATGGTCAAACGTGACAAAGTCCCTTCTCTTGATTTCCTTGTGCGGTAGGCATTGGCAAAAAGAAAAACTTGTAAAGGAACGCGTGTCAATAAGTACGCGCAATCTTGGAACGATGTCTGCCCCCTGAGAGACCTGGGTGTTCAAACAGACGACAGAATCTCGTGCGGCCCACACAGCCATAGCGTCCCAGGGCACGTGGACACGGTTGCATTTCTTATTTACGCACCTGAAAAGCAACATCGCAGACATCAAATACACACACACACCGTGAGCCGCACTGTGACTCTCGCCATCCCACCACCACCACCACCCAAGGGCCCTACCATTGCCAGTCAACCAGCCTTTACCCCATTCAAACATAGTTTATTGGGAACTAGACCACAGCTTGCCCTTTACAAAGTGTACTCCATTCCTGGAAATAGTCCGGGCGCGCCGCTGAACCACCAAATGAGGAAAATCAAAAACAGCATCCAATCTCAAAGTATTGTGCAGAGTTTCTTCTTTTTCTTCTTGCCCCCTGGGTTTGACGCCCTCAGGTCCACGCGCATCATTGACTGAGTTCCCTGTTTCATGGCCGTTGCACCATGAACCTCGCTTCCATTGAGGTTTGAAGACGCCTTCACTGACGCACTTGGATTCTCTGCCGACTCTTCGCTTAAACACATCTGAGCAGTGTACTCAAAGAGCTGCGTCACGTTGAAGTCATCCCTCGTGGAGACACGAAAAAATGGCAACTGAAGTTGTATTGCAAGCTGCTCTGCCTCCTCGTTTGTGATGGCCGCCTCGTGCGCAAGGTCAAACTTTGTCTGGCAAAGAATCATTGGAATGACGCCACACACATTCTCGACATTCCTCTTCCAGTTCACCACATTCATGAAACTATCCTTATCGACAGTGCTGAATGCCAGTATTGCCGCGCCAGCACCACGATAATACGCTTGAGTAAGGGAATTAAACACTTCTTGCCCGGCCGTGTCCCAGAGCATAAGTTTCACTGTGGTGTTGGATTGGTGTAAGAACACATTTTTCTCCATGAATTCCGCCCCAATAGTCTTCTTGTACTGATCCACAAACTCCCCCTTGACAAACCGCCGAAGCATTGACGTCTTACCTACATTGCCGTTCCCCACCACGATCACCTTGATGCTGTTTTCCACGCACTCCAGCATCGTCTTATCCCACTTGACGTCGTGCCGTTGGCAAACCCACCGTGACTATTCCCAGCCCGTGTCTCTGTTCGAGAGCTGAAGCCCCAAAAAAAACCAACAACCTCAACCAGTGCAGACACCAAAGACGCTTAGAAGCAAAAAAAAAAAAAAGCAACAAAAGAAAATAAAAAAAACACAAAAAAATATGCGTATCACATCTCACTTTCCTGCACCCCTCACTCTTCTCAGTCTAAAACCCTTGCCCCCACAGAATAAAGTGGGAGATGGAAAAGGCGGACAACGTGGCCCCTCAGCCTCACGGAATCAACGAATAAAAAATTGCTTGCAGGTGACGTTGTAATAATAATAAATAAGTGAAGAAGCAATGAAAAAAATTCACCAGTCATACTAAAATACGCTTCGCTCCGAGAGGAGAAACGCCAAAATAACGTAACCAACGCACCAACAGTTAATAAAAAAACAGCATCCAAGAAAAATAAAAGCGCAAGCCCGGTCTACAAAGAAGAAAAACATGATGGCGAAGCGTGTTGGCATACCTAAAACTGGCACTTCTCTATCAACCTCCTTGTCGCATCGTCCAGGGACACAGGCATATCAACGGCAACTGTGACATACATATCACCATTGCGCCCTGTCTTCCGATCAGGAAATCCCTTACCGCTCACACGCAACTGACGTCCATTCTTACTCACTCCAGTCAGTGGAAGCACTGTGGTAGTTCCATCCAGTGCCAGGACGTTTACTTTTGTTCCCAATAACGCTTGCTTCAAGTTGATGTGAACCGTCGTGCGGATATCTTTACCAATGCGCTCAAACCGAGGATGAGGCTTCTCATCCAGAATAAACACCATATCCGCCAAAACGTTCGGTGGATATCCTTGCACAATACCTCCTTCATGTTGAAAACGAATTTTTGTTCCCTTTTTATAACCAGGAAGCACCTCCACTTCAAATACCCTTTTCTCTGTCCCTCCCGGCATCAGACGTAAGACGCTGAACTTTTTGGTACACCCCGTATATATCTCCTCCAACGTGCATGAAAAGGTGTACTCCACAGGAGGCACCTCATACATTGGTGACATCTCTGGCGACCCAAAGCCCGACGTAAACCCTTGCGGACCCCCAAACCCACGAAACACTCGATGAAGGCCTGGACCACCACCACCAAACTCTTCCCCGCCCACGAATGGATCGCTGCTGCCAAAAAACGACCGAAATATATTAAATGCGTCGCCGGATGAAAAAGTGTAACTCCTATCAAAAGGGACATCCTTGAAACCCCCTGCACCCGCAGCGCTGCCGCCCTCCCCACCTCCAGGAATACCACCTTTCAGACCCTCCTCTCCGTACATATCGTATATTTTCTTCTTACTTTCGTCACTTAAAACATCATAAGCTTCCGAAACCTCCTTGAAACGCAGCTCAGCCTCTTCCCGATTACCAGCGCATTTATCGGGGTGGAATTTCAAAGCCAGCTGGTGATATGCCTTCTTTATATCAGTCGGCGAGGAATTCCTGCTCACACCAAGAACCTTGTAATAATCAATACCCATACCTACAAGCACAACCTATCAAAAACGTATCAAAAATACAAAAAGACTTCAAAGAAAGACATCAACGCAGACTAGTAAAACCAAAAAGATAATAATAATCAACATAAAAAAAATCCTTTAACACAACAAAAAAAAAATCAAACCCAAAACCCAGCTCCACCCTGCAGCATACACCTGAAATCTTTATCCAGCGAAAAAAAAGCAGAGGCATCATCGGACAGTGTTCACTCTTCACTCTCCAAAACGGAAGAACTGAGTAAACAACCTCACTCTGCTCAGTCGCTGAGGCCGCCCCCCACCCCTTAAGTGTGATACACCACGCCCCAAAAAAAAAAAAAGCACACATACGAACAAAGAAAAAAAACCAACAACAGCGCACCCTGCATCAACACAATACTTCACATCACCACGTTTCTAAAACAAAATTGTACAAAACGTTCTCTCCACAGAGGAAGAATCATCACTCATACAACAAATCCCACCGCGTAGCGTACCCATTAAATGCATTCCCTTTAACCTTCAACAAATTAAAAAATTATGTACATAATATAAACATATATATACATACATCAACAACGCCTTTCATTAAAAGTTTAGTAAAAAAAAATCATTTGCAAAAAAAAAGAAAAAAAGTTTCGCCGCTTCCTTCCATCTGTTGCCACGCGCCCACCCCACTGGGCGACGAGTGCCGTGGAAACGACGGCTGCCCAACGACCGTCAGCAGCAGCGCGGTCCTGCCCCTTCGTTTTGTTATGTGGACAAGAAAAAAAAAAAAATTACATCACGCCTCCGACGACACCACACAACACGCTCACGCAGCCTGATGGTTACCAGGGGTGGCAACCTCAATCGGTGGATGCTACTCCGCTGGCACGGAGCCTTCGTCGGCGTCGCCGCGGCTCCGAGGCGCCTCCTCCTCCCACGGGAACAGGAAAAACACCAGCACGACAAAGCAAACAAAGCCAACGCAACCAAAGAAGATGAAGGCGATCGCCTGGCCCTTGTCCTGGTTGCCGGACGGACCACCGGACATGCCCTCCGTCGCAATTGGGTAGCAGACGTTGATGATGATATTGCAGAGAAACTGTGCCACCATCACAACCGACGAACCCTTCGGACGGAACGAGCGTGGAAACAGCTG